CAGGAAACTTTAGTCGGCAAACAGAGATCTCTTTTGGGAATTCCACGGGCTTTTGATTTCAGAGGTGGCGCAGTGAATCAGTGAATCCTCAAATTTACTTTGCGATATTCAGTTTTAAGCGTTTTTATTAACGGATTTCAGAAATGCCCAGCAAACGTTTTCAAGGCAATCAATAATCCAAACCATTTAGACTAACTAGTTTACCGAAGAAATTTATTATGTTTCCTTTGAAACTGAGCGTTTTGCCGACTTTCCTCCCCCTCCCCTAAAGCACCGCTACACAAGCTAAAACAATTGCGTAATCAGTGACCCTTGACGTAACTGGTATAAACACTTTGAAATGACGCATGCGCAGAGCGACGCATCACGCGTCCTTATTCAAAGGCTTTCTATAATAGTCCTCGTTCTATAGCATACAACGCTTTGTAGCGACTGCTCACTGGTAAAGGATATATACCACTACTCAACGCTTGCAAATTTYCAAGATCTCAACACATCAAAATGGAAGGTACGTATTCGACCTTATTTTTGCAAATGTGTTTTCTCCTTCAAATATATCTTTCAATAAGACTAAATTTAGCTAGAAGTCCGCTTTGAATAATTTTCAGCGTCAGCGTTCATACTCGAACATCTCTTATATAGTTTACAGAAATGTTTCGAATAGAGGAAATGTATGGCCGGTACAGATACAAGAAATGTATGTGTAGATTCTTGTATGTTACTGATTAGAAAAAGCCAAACTTCACCAACCCGGCTTGATTAATTTCAAATCGCAATCTAAAATAGAAGATTATTGAACAAATAACGGCCACAAGACATGTGCGCTCGAWTTTTAGGAGGCTTTTGTGTTTGCTTGAATTTGGCTGTTCACGTTGGATTGCGCGCGGCTCGTAGTTGTAGAATTAATGTATGGATATACAAGTGTGTAGTGAGTATACATCATGCAGTAAGAAGCGGATCGCGGAGAGGAAAGGGGATAGGGATAGACATTTTGGAAGAAAAATTACGACCGTTTGCTTCAATTTAATTGCCACTCTAGAATTTCGATATAATTTCGAGTTTTAATCCRAAATTTTATTTTCTTGGTGCATGCAGCTGCAAAGAGAAAGCGTGCAGCGCAAACCAACAAGGGTAGATCCAAGAAGAAGACCAAAACTGATGATGGACCCAAGATCAAACGTCCTCTCTCGGCTTACTTGTACTTCACGAAGGACTTTCGTGAAGAAAGGGCAGCTAAAGGCCTTGATAACTCGAAAGTGAATGAAGTTGCCAAGTGCGCTGGAGAAAGATGGAGGAGCATGAGTGAAAAAGACAAAGCGCCTTATGAATTAAAAGCAAAAGCAGACAAGGAAAGATATCAGCAACAGGTAAAAATTATAGAAACAGTTTATTTCTTTTTCTTTATAATCTATAAAACATGGAGGCAACCGAACGACTTGGGATGCCGATTCCATAAAACATTGGGGTCAAGCCAGCCACCTAATTTACTTGAATATCTAAAAGACTTCTTAAAAATAATATCAATTCTATACTAGAATTTATATAAACAGATGTTAGCTATAATCGGATTTTAAAAAATCTTAATGAAAAGACTTGATATTTTGAAGTGATTTTTGTTCAAAAATAAGCAGTTTTTTTCTAAAAATTCTGTAATTAATTAACACTTAACCATGAAGAAGCTATCGTGCAGCCCAGAGTTAATGACTCTGCAGCCAGATAAAATTTATAGTAACCATTGTATTCTCTATGTCTACTACAAAACTACGTATAACTACAAAACTAGGTATATTATTCCAGCCAAATGAGGTCTGATATAGTAGTGCGTGTAAATTCATAAAGTAAACACAAGATCACGAGTAAAAGAACAACAAAACTGCCGTGAACTACTTCGCATATCAAGAAGTTCCCGTCGTAATTGTATGGAGATTTATACGATGCTTCAGTTATGCGAGAACCATCGAGGGGAATTTTACTCTAAGCTGTAGATTGGAAACCGTAAACAAAGCATAGAGAGAATCTCTTTTCTGCTGGATTTCCCGCCGTGGATTTCTTGGTACAACCAACAATAGACTTACCCGAGATATTTTTCTGGGCCCTTCGAGAGATTGGAGGACGAACAAGACCTTTGCTCCAGCATCGAAAACTGGCTTAATAAATCGAAGCATTTTCCTGTATACGTCGATATAAAGGTTATTTTGCAAAGATTTTAGAGGTTTTGCTGTCAATCTTGTAACATCAATCAAAGAGAGAAGTGTAATTGCTAGAGGCGAGCATGCGCAGTGGTTAGCGTCTAACTCATGCCAGGTCGCCTCGTGCTTTGGTTGTGTTGTAGCATCTTTCTCTTTTACTGCGCGCTGCCTCTGAAACTACCAACTTCCACCTCACCAAACTGAATGAGTTCAAAGACCTCAAAAACTCCGAAAATAAGCCAGTTCTTTACTCCGACGAGCAAAAACGGTGAAATGGAAGGTATATTTTGATTGAGTGATTTTTTATGAATTTTTTGTTTTTTAAATGCGCGCCCCTTTGGATGTCGTACTAAGCGCTCTTGTTTCTCTACTGTCCTTCTTATATCACTATATACTGCCTTCATACACTGCCTTAGTAGGGCATGTATGTGGTACATAGCTTGTATGACCCAGATTGAATCCAAAAATTTGCACTATTTTCGACCTGAGTTCAGCCTAAAATCACTTTAATGTCTTAGTTTATATATTCTAGTGTGGAAATCGAGGCCTGCCAAGACGTGCGCTCGAATTTTGAGCACTGTTTTCGGCGAAGTTCTTGCGTTCGTGTTTACAGACGTTGTATGAATGTGTGTTTATCGGTTAGACCGGGATACGATGTTTTGCAAAAATCTGAACTCAGGCTTTGAACAAACGCCTCAAGCGCCTAAATTTTAGCCTAAAAGCACACTCCTTGGGTGTCGTTGGAGGTTAAGCGCTGTAAACATGTCGTTGTTTTCTCTTCTCTTTCGCATCGCGAAGGAACGAAAGGAAAGAAGCGAGTTGTCGACAGCGCCAAGAATGGAGCACCAAAGAAAGCTAAACAACAAAAAGTGGAGAGAGGAGGGAAAAAGAAGAAGGAGAAGTCTGCTATCAAACGAGCATCTTCGGCGTAYATCTTCTTTTCTAAAGACTTCAGAAACAAATTGAAAGAGGAATGCGACAAGAAAGGCGAAGTCATTCCTGGTGTGAACGAAGTAGCTAAACTTTGTGGAGAGCGTTGGAGAAAAATGACGGACGAAGATAAAAAGCCTTTCCAAAAACTGGCGGATTTAGATAAATCTCGCTACCATAAGGAGGTAAGAAGATGGGGTACAAACGGCGTCTTAGCTGTAGTTTGTGAATTTTTCCTCGAAGGAACAAAATGGCGGCTGTCGTTGTTGAACCAAACTGCGGACTGAGAACTAAACATGTCACGTGACTAAATCCAAGATTTTGTTTTTTTGATAAAATTTTTTTAATTTTTTTTTAAAACTTGATAAAAGTTGTTAAACTAATAAAAATGTATTTTTTAGAGTAGCAAGTTTAAATAATTTTTAAGAAATTCATAAAATGTCATTTTTGTAAGGCTAGTTATGTATTTTTTTGAGTTCATCTCAAATATTATAAACTACAGTTGAATATTTTCTTAAATAAAAATAACAATCCCTACCAGCTTTGCAAAGGTATTAACTGATAGAATGGATATTGATATTACATTGGTAGAAATTTACCAGCAGTGGTAAAAGTTTAACACCAAGTTATCTACCATTAGTGAAGCTCTTGCTTGTGATACAACTTAGCTTTTCAGTCTTAATATTGGTTATGACGAGGAATTCCATCGTAATCCCTGAAGATGCCCAAATGCGAATAAATTCCTTATTACCATATAACATAATTACATTATTTTATATTACAGTTGTAACAAAGTTACATTGTTGCTATAGTAACTTAAATTGCATTAAAATTAACTTTTACTCAAAAAATTCACTGGTGAATAGCTAAACACTGGTTTGACCCTTAAATATATCTGGGTTAGTATATGTAATAGGACTACTTGCTGTCCAATTTGGAAATAATTAGATTACAAAACTTTTGAGGACTGACAAAGTTGGAGGAGGCTAATAGGCCAAGTCCRATTTGGCAGTCAGAGGAATTTTTTAAATTCAATTATTTCTGAATTGGACAGACATGTAGTCCTATTGAAGATTAATTTTATCATCCCAAACTATACTAGACTGATTCCATGAGTCATAGTTTTCCCTGAAAATAATACAGTAGTTGCTTATATGGGATTATAAAGTGATGATACAATTGATCAAAGTTATAAGTTCAAGGTAACATTTTGGATACATATGCCATCAACCTATTTCTCTTCGTTTGTTGAATTTTTATACACTGTATAATATAAGTTACAAAGCATGTTTGTTTTAATATTATGATATTAATTTTTTACATAAATAATTGAATTTGTTTTGTTTTTTCCTTCTAGAGTGGTAAGGGGGATTTGCCCGCAAAAGATTCAGATAAACCCAAGAGAGCTCCGACTGCATATTTTATATTCTTGGCAGAATTTAGAAAGAAGATGGCTGGTGTTGAATTAGAAGATGGACAGAAAATCCCTGCTCTCGCTGGTGAAAAATGGAGGTCAATGACCGACAAAGATAAAGAACCTTATGCAAAGAAAGAAGCAGAAGAAAAAAAGAAATATGAGGCTGCTATGGAAAGTTACAGGGAAAAGGTACCTGATTGATAATATTCATTTATAGTATTAATGAATGATATAGAAGTGTTAAATTGCTTATAAGCCTTTGCACAATATTTTCAGAATTGATTCTTTAGATAGTGGATAGTGAAAATATTTTGTCATTCGAATGTCAGGTCTTTGAGATACGAAGGTTTATATTCTCAATATGTTAATGACTATGATCATTTAATATACAGCACTGCACTCRTTCTGGAGTACAGTATTTTAAATCATCACCCTTTTACTCGTGACTCACATAAAGGTTCTTACGAATTTGTTTTCAAAAAATGTCCAGCGTTCAATATTAAAAGTTGCCACAAAATAACTCAAATCACTTATGTAACRTCATAGTCATTAACATATTGGAAATATATAAACCTTGGTACCTCAAAGACTTGACATTCAAATGTTGAATTATTTTCGCTATTTTAAAGAATCAAGTCTGAAAATGTTGTGTAAAGGTTTATAAGCACTTTAAGTGGAAGGGTTTTTTATGGGGAGAGGCATTCATTTCTTAGGAAAGGAGAAGATTTACATTGACGCCACACAAAAAGATCTACAACCCTATCATCAAAAGGATTAATAATGTGACCTATTTGTGTGTGTGTGTGTGATGTCAATGTAAATAATTTACTTTGACATCACACAAAAAAATCTACGATCCTCTCATCAAGAGGATAAATAATGTGACCTCTGCATTTTRTGTGTGTGTGTGTGTAAATTATTTACATTGACATCACACACAAAAATCTACGACCCTCTCATCAAAAGGATAAAATTAATGTGATCCCATTGTTTCAATTTAAATTTTTTGGATTGTATGAAAATTTTGATAACCCCTTACCTAGATTCCTCAAACCTTGCCTTATCTAAAACAGGGATGATTATGACATACTATAGAAATGTCCTATTTTTGTTGTTGTGATATTTGCAAAGTTGAAATATTTTGGAGGGAAAGGTGCTGAAACAATATTATCAGCAGGGACAACAGAGTAAACTATAGCATATTTTGGTCCCATGTCATAAAAGTGCTTCTAACTCACCTCTGACATGGGATCCATTTCTGATCCATTTTATATGTGAGCAGGATTTCTTTTTAATTCTTACCTATACTTTAACTTTTTCTGGGTTTTTGTCTATTTTATCCTTTTTCAACGGTTTTCTTTCAAACAATACAGTAGTGTAACAGCACAAATATTATTAATAATATAGAACCCAAATAAAATTATAATTTTTGAGACAAGTTTTGACATTTTTTGTGATGCCTTCAGTTCATTTAATGAAACAGCAATATAATAGTCAACAATTTTAATTACGAAAAATAATAATAAATTACCACTGTTTTCCATGCTTGCGTTGGTTGAGATAACAGTTGCGACAGGGAAAACGGACAATAGATTAGGGTCAATAATTTAATTCATTAGAGTAAGAAGAGGTGCAAGTGAACATAGGTTTATTTGATTGATGTAAGTCTATTTCAAAAATTTCTCAGTCGAAACTTTTGTTTATCAGCACACAATGAAAACGGTGGTAAGGTATTTCGAATATTTGATATTTTTTTGCAAATTAGCAAACTTTCACAAATGTATGTAATGTGTAATCGTATTGTATGCAATAAATGCACCTCAAATGCAACCATTAAAGAAATAATACTCTAGGGRTTGACACATTGTCTGAAATGGGAAAATTCTGGATTAGGTCTATAAGCTTTTCCAGTAGATTGTGTATTTTAAGTCAAAGTCCTATCAGAATGCAAGTATTTTGATTATTCTTTGATGGAATGCTAACATGTTTTGCCAAAAATTGAACTCTTATGCATGAAATGTCAACTTGCATCTACTTGTACATAAAACTTCATGCTGGTTTTTGTGATAATGTATAATTTTGCTCTATTATTAATTATTTTTAACTACAATTAAAGATAAAGGATGCTCCAAAACCAGAAAAGAAATCAAAGCCCAAAAAGAGAGAAGAGCCAGAAGAAGAAGAGGAAGATGAAGAAGACGATGATGATGAAGATGATGACGATGATGATGGTGAGTAACATATTTACTATATGCTGCTGTTCTGAACCATTGCTTTGTTCAAACCCCCATTTTTCTAACTTGCCAAGTCTTGTTCTCTTTTTCTCTCTCTCTCCATCCACTCTCCAAGTCTTCTTTTGCCCCCTCTTGCCCTTCAGTTGTCCATTATTCTTGACTTCCTTCATAAAAAAACATGTCCTGCATACCTCCTATTTCAACGAATTTAACAATTTTTCTTTCATTTTCAGATGACGATGATGATGAGTAGTGCTGTTCCATGATATCATCCTTCATGTAAAGTAGATATAGTRTTTATAACCTCCAGTCGCTGGATACTTTGGATTTATACTCTTTATATTGACACTGCTGGTGATGCCAGTCAAAGTTTTTCTCTCTGATTTGTGTGTTTGCCTTAAAGATATATTTTATTTTTGTGAAAATTGTAGTATTTTGTCAGTGCTTTTGTGTCGCACAGTGATTTTAATAACTCATTTCAAGCATGAGTGTTACTTATGAATAGTTGACTTTTTTACTCAGTGTCTCTCACTCTCTGCTTTTGATTACTGGTACATATCAGGACTCATTCTATAGGTATAAAGAAAAACAAATATGGCTGAACCATAGCCATGGCTTAATATCCAGGTGTGTAACTCAAGAAAACATCTACACCCCTCCCCTTTTGGGGGTGGTTTAGGAAATTCAGAATAGGTAAACATATAGTATTAATAAGTATTAATGAACCCTTGAAATTCTATTGAATGCAAGGCTAACATGGTACAAAAAAAATGCCACAAACTCCATCTAGAAACAGTGTGATTTTGTTTGTATTTTCATGTTAGCCTTGCGCCCAAGATCATCCAAGAAACTTTTGGGAAGGTTCCATTCAAGTAACTGTGTTTCAGATTGTTTGTGAGAGAAAGAAAAGGAAGTCAAGTCCCTCAAACCCCTTAAACCCCTCTCCTCTCTCCCTTAAACAAAGTGGGTAAATTCTAGAATTTTCAGAGTTTCTGTATCAGAGGGGGGTCATTGTCAAATGTTACTCATGGGTGAATTTTGGATGTTTTCTAGAGCTATACATAGGTAAAAAGGTGGAGATCTAATAGCCATGTTTGTCTTTTATGAGGATTCATTTCAAAAAATTTTGCAAATCATGAGGAATGTTAATTTCGCCAAGCTGAATTTCGTTGGAACGTGGCTTACATTTAGCAAAGATGTTCATGTCCTTACTGCTTTGCTAACTTTACTTGTTTTTTGCTGGTTTGCAATTTATGCATCTTGGTGAAGTGTTCATGTTTTTTTCAGTCAAACCAATTATCTTAACAGTACTGCCGCCATTACAAAAATCATAGAAAGTTAGAGCTCTGCAGTCAGTATATGTTACAAGGGATTGAATGAGGTTTCAAACCCTACTGAACCCTTAACATAGAAGCAAGAGAACTGGTTGCTTTAGCCCCAAAAAAAGACTAGCTGGGAAAAAAGCTGATCCATATATTATTCATTTTCAAGCAACTTTTATCAAAGATCGAGTACAGTACCGATCATTAGTTTTACATCTGTAGATAGAGCATACTTGTAATGCAATCTCTATTTAGTAAGACAGGATGTGAGTTTTGTCGTGTATTTCTAAGTTACAAACCAAGAGGGTGATTGCTTCTGTACAAATGAAAAAGTTTTGCACACACAAGAGATGGTACCAAAATWTTAGCAAATTAATTGGAAGCAGTTATTTTTAGCAGGCAATATATGACAAAACTTGGGTTATGTTGTAGCACAGTAAATCCAAATAGAAAGGTTTTTGATCCGACCATTTGTTAGATACCAAAACACATCATTTAAAAATGTATTTTTCGAACTTGACAAAGTACATTTTGRTTGTTCATTTGTATTATAGTGCTTCAAATATCAGTCACACGCATGAAATCGTACAATTTGCCATCCTGACGAAATAGGTTTTGGTGGACGTCAATCAGTGCGTTTCCATGACATTCCATAGGAACATACCCTTAAATGCTTTGTGTTTTCCGACAAGCTGGAAAACCCTTTGATTGGCGTCCACCAACTCTATTTTGTCCTGAAAATTTTTTTCCAAGATTTTTTGCCTGTGTAATTCAGAAGCACTTTAAGCCGTTAGACCTAACATACATCTGTAGTTTTCCTYCAGTTTTGATATGTGCCGACTTCACTAAACAATGCAACAGCATTTCCATACRCATGTCATTTTTCTTGTTTTAAGATGAAATAAAATTTGTGTTTAGTTAAATCTTGAAGACCTATAATCTATAACCCATAATTTGCAATCTTTGGCCTTAAGGAGGGGGCCTGACACCAAGGTTTGTGGTTTTGGTCAATTTTTGATGCAGATTTGCATAAAAGTTTAGGCTGCATTCATAATGTATGGCGGGGGGGGGGGGGGGGCAGATGAAATTGAGAGGGGACTGGGAAAATTTAGGTAGGAAAAAGGGGGGATGGACAAATTTTTATCAGAAATTTCAACTGCCCCCCCCTCTGCCATACATTATGAACCCAGCCTAAGCATGTGTTCTTGGCTTGGCTTGTTCTCATTTCAATCCCATGGTGCACAATAATTGTGACATCTTCAGTGGATAACGTTGTTTACAACACTTAAAAAGTATCGAAAACCATAGCTTTTTCGTGTTTAGCTAGTAATCCGCACGTGCGTGATATAACTGCACACACCACACACGTTTTCTGTTCCTTCAACTGTAGTCAACATTAATAACCAGCCACACCCCAATCCCATTGTGTAATGCGGTGGTTTTCCTCAATAATGTCTCGGTACAGGTCTACATTTTTAAAATATAGACCTGTCCCAGGGACATTCATATCCAATCAATATGAAATCCAAATCCATTGTTCCTAAATCATGGATCTGTGCAATTACAGGGCTGTCAACCCCCAAGATATTCAAATCTGGAGAATTGATAAGGAAGGGACATGACGTCACAGCACGTCAAAAAGCGCGTGAAGACATCTTTCGCTTTGTAACATTTGATGTGATTGGTTTATTTCTGACCAATCAGATTATCACTTATATTACAATGGCCTGCTTGCAAGAACAGTTTATGAGGAACRTTTTGATTTTGTTAGCGATTTAAAATAACACAAACAACACAAAATAATCGGAATTTTATGGTTGTGAAAGTTGAGTCTCACAAGAAATGGTCAGCTTTGGGGATTATCTGGGAGATTTGAGGCTCTGATCTGGAGACCGGGAGATACGGTACAAAATCTGGAGACTCCTGGTTTATCCGGCAGAGTTGACAGCCCTCCAATTATCAACAATGGCATCATGTCGGGGCTGATTATTTAACCTGTTCAAACACACGAGTGAGGGCGTTCTTAAAAATGAAGGCCTCGGCTTTTATTTTTAAGAATGCCCTTGCCGTAGTGTTTGATTCTTTACTTATTGGTCATGTTGAGTCTTGGAACTCATCAATTTCTTGAACAAACTTTTACAGATGATTCCTCAATTATACTTGTATATCATAAAAGGACTGCAAGGCAGCATTAGAAGATTAGGGGTTACATCACTGAGGCAAGCAGGACTTGAACTCAGATCACATTGGCGAGANTTGTATATCATAAAAGGACTGCAAGGCAGCATTAGAAGATTAGGGGTTACATCACTGAGGCAAGCAGGACTTGAACTCAGATCACATTGGCGAGAGGCAAGCACTCTCGTTGCTACACCACCCATGCTTTTAAATTGATTGGCAGACCCTGCAAATTCAGTAGATTTCAGATTTTGTTCTTTAGAGTCAAAATCATGGATCTGACCTCTTCACAAATGTCTTATGTTTGTTTTTTGTCAGCAACGGATGGGACGTGTTTCATGTTTCACATTAAAATAATTCTCACCTTGTCTAAAATGTCTGGCTAAACCAATAGTCCGATTGCCAGACAAGAAAACTTGATCAGATGGAATAAAAAAAAATCTTACAAAGGATGAGTCACGCATAGAAATCCCCATTGCAAGGGCAAAGTTTCAAATAACAGCTTTCGAAAGTAATCCAATATTTCAGACAATACTTTGAGCAAAAAGAAAATAAAAAAGTATAAAGCATAAATAAATGGCCAAACTCCAAAAAAGTTCATAATTATTTATCCGCATTCGAGTTGATTTTTTTTAAACCGGAGCAGATTTCATCCACTTCAGTACGTAATGACTTTTTTCTGATAATATTACCGTAAAGAACATCCGATGTATATATTTCATTTTATGAACAAAGCCTTTGTTATAAGACCTGAACAAAAGATACTAAAAAAATCATGAAAGTAAATGATTTCTTATAAATTTAAATCTCTTTGTACGAAATGATCGACACATGTTCCTATATCGGGTGATATTTGCAAGCCTTTGATAATGAATTATTCAAGAACTTTCGCTCGGCAAACACAAATAACAGAAGGATTCCTCACGATCGAAATATAAGCCACACTTTAAAACAGTATTCTTGAGAAAAACTAAGTAATGAAACAGAGAATCACTTTAAAAAAACAACAACAAGAAACACTTCAATGCTTACATCTTAATGGCTTTCCTTAAAAAATTTCGAAGCGTACACAAGAAATGAAACCCACGATATTTTCCTTGTTAAAACCAATTTTTTTTCCAATTTATTGAAATCTGACGAAAAGGCTGTACAGATTCTTAGAAATTCTCTCTTTTTATACATTTAAAAATACAACCTTATGTTACAAACTCCACAGATTGCAGCAACTGCAACCAGTAGGGCTTTTTTTACAAACAATTTCGACTTATTTTCAAACTTTACATTGAATCTGTACATATTAATCTTAGTAGGCTAATATTTCTCGATTATCTAGCACTGAACACAGGTTTGAACTGGCATAATGTCCCTATTTGAGTGAAGCATACTTTCCTTCTTTCGTATGTTGTTTAGCCTCTCTTGATTTCGTGGGGTTCTTTCCTTTCGGCCCGTCATGTCTCGAAGGACATCTTCGTTCACGTCGCAGATGGAGCCATTTTCACCTATTCTAAAGCACACATCGTTGGGGTCGATCCAAACGGTTAATTCTTCGGGGAAAGCTTTAAGTTCGGCGTGCGAGACTCCCACCAAACGAGCAGCAGCGACAATGATGGGGTCCATACTATGGTTTATGCGGATACATCGAAATCCACTTCCCAACAAAGGGTTATTCGGATGCCAGTGCGTCTTGTACCTTTCGCATAAAAGCTCTTCCATTGTCGATCGAAATTTCTCCAGTCGAGGTTCACTAATTTGACTGGTTCGTCTTAGCATTAGGAAAAGGAATCTACACGCTGTATTCACTTCTTTCTTCATCTTTAGTACGTGTTAAGAAATGTTCGAGTTGCTTCACTTTCCTTATACGCGGTCGTCTTGTTTTGTTTTGAAGCGATAGAAATGCGTCCAAAATTCGGTCAATTTGCGTCCTTCTTTCAATTCAACTGCCTTCGATCTTCCAAATATCCTTTCAACTCTTCTCTATTCTTCGCAAAGATCTTTAGTTTTGCGATTAGAACGAAAAAAATCGCTTTTCTGTGACTCGAGTCACGCTCCTTGAATTGTTTTTCATATGATTTTCCTTTGCGCGGAAATTATTTCTGCTTGCGTCTAGTAAAAACCCCCGATGACGTCACGCGAACGCCAGCCAATCACAGCCGAGATATTCTAATCATCAGCCCGTTGCTACGCGTGGAAGCCACTGTCTTATCATTAATACCTTCATTGTTTCCTTTAACCTCCAAAGAACATCAATAGAAGTTTGTCCTTTTCGTTGGCATCTGTTTTGGTTTCAAACCTTACAAATCTAACTTTAYTTACTAGGTTTATAGGAATTGAAGATTTTCGATCTCGGTGGTTGAATCTCGAATATTTAGGCGAAAACGTGATGGTTTTATAAGAGTCTATTGTTCTGCCATGCATGACTTGAATTAAAGTTGCTAAGAGAGAACAAAGGAATATTCCTAATAATCATAAAATGCTTTAAAGAAAGCCAGCTTTATTCAATATCACTTTGGACTGTTTTTTAACTGGTCGCGAGCATATTTTTTTAGGATAATGTAGAGTTTGTTAATTGAAGCGTTGAGGAAGCAAAAGACGCCCTTTTATATTTTCTTTAATGTGTAATCACCGTAAAAACGTTCCACACCATTATTGAATCATTTTTAACTTTATGATTTTCTTAAAATTTTTTTTGGCTTCCCAGTTTTCTATCCGATTTTGCGATTTTTGACCACTCGTTATTTCCCATCTAAAACAAATTTAGAATATTCACAAAATTGCATTGTTAAGTGTAAAACATTTTTTGGTGTATTTAACCTCAAATTTGTGAACCGTAACGAAAGAAAATTGGGATCTTTATCAAGTCATCTTAGTCAAAACAAAATCTGAAGATTCCCGCGCCTTAACCAGTGTGAATAATATGGTAAAACCTGGGGGGAAATAGCCAGACCGAAGAGAAAAATACAAGCATGTTTTGGGAGTCATTATTTTTATAAATTTTTAAAGCTTCTTTGTACCTTTGTGCTTTGCTTTTACGAGCTAACCTTTTATTTCCGTTTCTGTGTCCTTTGTAGGCCCTAATGATAATTAGATTTGGCATTTCTTAATTACAATTTTAGATTTTTGACATTTGTACCGTTTTCTCAAAGGGAAATATTTGCCATATCAAATGAAAATATATAAATATATCAACATGTTTCTCATTTTTGAGTTCCCTTCTTCTTCGTATTTTAAGTAATTATTTAATGCTTCAATTTGTTGTTCGAAAAGGAAATGTTATGAATACAGTACCCATTAGCACTTTTTAAGCTTGACTACTTTTTGTTTTGTGTATTGTTGTTGTTGGTGGGAGTTTAAAAAGGTGCCTTCATTGTGTGCCATTYGTTGAATTAGAAGTATATGGCTTAGTTCGTTTTGTTACTCCCTATCAAGGTCTACCAAAGCCGGATACATTCTGGATATCACTACTAAACAAAGGGAAAGTTGTTCGTTTTTTCGTTATAACGGTTTAAACTCTTGCCCCATTAATGGATATTATATTATTAATTATATTTCTTGTTCTAACTTTCGCSATACTTTCTTTTGTTTAGTCCTTTTTCTTAGTTTCAATTCCCAATGATGCGTTTTATATCCTGAGTGTCCAAGATAAATCCTTGCTTTCATAAGAACAAAATTAATATAGATTAACTGAAAATGATGTATCTACGAGCGAGTGGAACATCTAAGGAGCAAGAAAGGAGAAAATTTTTAACGCTAAAACTGTAAAGTCGAGATAATTTTGAAACTAAGAGAAGATAATCCTATAATAATCCTGAAGACGCGCCACTCGTTTGAATCGCCTTGAAAAGCACTCTCTCCGGTACGTGATATGAATATAGGCAAGCCGATATCAACAGCTAATCAAACAAGACATGAAAGCTTTTACCCATTCCGTTCATCTATCCATTTCTTTATTCATTCGCTTAAGAAGATTTGTCAAACAGTATGATTTTACTTCAGATACCGTTCCGTCAGGAAATCCGTTTTGCATCTGGGAAAAAAGCCTTGGATTTAACTTAATCGCAAGTTTGAGTTTAGAACAAATGGCAAATATCTAAGTTGTTCAATTACGGTAATCTTCAAAATTCAATGATTATAAACAATTCATAGAGCTATGTTAACTTATTTGTCTTGCTGGTGACCTAAAAACTGCMATCTGGAGTAAACAAAGCCTAAAGGCTTATTTAATATTAGGATTAATTTTAGACAAAGGAAAAGGGTTTAGCATGACATATTGAAAACTTTTGTTTTAATGAGAATGAAAAGAAAAGAAAGACGAAGGGGAAGAAAGGAAGAAATACTGAAGAAAGGAAGGAAGGAAGGGAATAAAGATAGAAAGAAGGAAAGAGAGAGAGAGAAGGAAAGAACGAACGAATGAAAGAAAGAAACAAAAAGTGAACGTAAGTAAGAAAAAAGAAAGAAAGAAAGGAGGGAAGAAGAGGAAACAAAGAACGAAAGACAGAAAAGAATGAACGAAAAAAAGAAAGAAAAAAACGAATGAACGAGCATTGAACGAAAATTTTTTTATCATTGAAGGGAAAGTCGAAGAACGGGACCTAAACTTGTACCAAGGCAAAAATAACAGATCGCCATGCACTCTTTATCGCCAGTGCAAAACACACAAGGGAAGAATATCGAGAAAAATGTTATATATATATATATTTCGCTTGAGGCCCAAAAGAATTCAATTAATGCAGTTGAACTTYTGGCCGCAAAGTTGTCCATGCACCTTACCATGCTTTTGGACTTACTAGCTACAGATATAATTTTTATCCCTTCAAAGATTCTTCACACAGAACCGTGTCTTACAAACTAGTTGAAGCTCCTATTATTCTTGCATGACAATCGCCAGCTTTTAAAACTACGAAGGGCGTATAGCAGGGCTTTCGTGTCGATAATGACCTACCGCTTAATGACAGAACAATACTGATCCGATGCCCAATTTTGCCAATGGGAATGTGAGCAAGAGTGTGTCGTATATGGGCGAACTGCTGTTCTATTGGTAGGTTGGTTAATCCCACACTCTAGGGGGTATATTTATACCTCATCACAAGTAGTCAATAATCAATAACACAAGCAAAGTTTCCAATTAGGCTTGGATATAAATATTCACGTTGACGTACTTGAAAATTAAATTACACAAGATGGCTTTAAGTTTTGTGGCTTAAAATGATTGATGGAAATAATTAAGAGTTATTAGGTTTTAGACCCTTGAAAATGGAAAAACGAAATTAAACGTGATAGATTAAGAATGTTGTAAGTAAGATTGGAAGCTGTTTTGAAGATTGTCATGGTCGGGTTGTAACGTGTGACTCCGTGACGATCACGGGGCATCGAATTAGGCGAAAACCTAGCCAACCAAAACTTGTAGGCTGTTTTACTGAAGAATACTTAGACATTACTAAAAACCTTTTACGCCCATTTTAAGATATTACAGCAAATTTATAAACCCATTTGAAAGAAAATTATAGATACAGAGACTAATAAGAGAGAGAGAGAGAGAGAGAGAAAGATGAAAGGGAAGGAGGAAGGAAGAAGGAAGGAAGGAAAGGAGGGAGGGAAATGAAAACGTACTGATAATATAAATTTAGATCCAATGAAACTTCTATAGAGAAGTCCAAACCATCATGGATAATAATCATCTCAATTTCTTTCAAATATTCAAAAAATTCTTCAACCCTCGTCAAGAGCTCATGCATGAGAGAAATATCTTGACACACATAATGAACCCAGAACCCAGCCATCTGAACAAAATTCAAGTAACGCTTGAGGAGTCAAACCAAACGGCATCTATCTTGGATACTTGCTTGTTTGGATGAATCAAAGCGTCATGTTCAGTAGCGTACATCTCAAGGAAGAGCGAACATAGCGAAGAACAGTGCTAAAAACCTCTTTGTAATACGAACAAATCCAATCGGGTGTATAGATATGAAGATTGATCGTATACAAGGCTTGATTTCAATCCAGTCCGACTACACGCAGTACGGAGCCGACGAACTATGGTATGTCCTCACTTCCATCACTTAACTTATCTTTCATTACTTTGACTTTCTTTCTTTTTCTACTTTATTATTTTCATCTTCAACGTAGAATTTAACTATCTCCCTGATGAGTTGATCTTTATTCTTTGGATTTAATTGTTTCATTCTGCCCTAGCTATATATATATATATTTATAGAATTTATTTGTACTTGCACTTTTGTCCCAACACGTGTGTGTAAGCTTCACTATCTATTGTTCAAACGTTTTTACAATTGAAAAGCATTTGTCAAAACTGTTGACGAAAAAACGTCTTAGCGTTGAAGAATAACCCTTTAAAAAACTGGCGGAAGATTTATCTCGTTTTATATAGAGCTTATAGTAAAAAAATTTTTTGAATTACTAATTGAGAATTTTTGAATGTTTTCTTTCCTTTGGCGACGATGAAAATCTGTTAATTAACCAGCTGTTTTTCGCATGTTTAACTAAACTTAAAACAGTAATTTAACATCATTAAAAAGAAAAGTCATCATTCTCATTATATTTTATCCTTTCTTCAAGTTTCTATTGGGTTTTAAATAATGTTGAAGATATTGAAAAACATCTCATCTAAAGGGTTTTTAGGGATTATTTTTGTCTTTGAATTTAGACAAAAAACCACCAGAACGAAAGCAGGTCCGTTCATCTGACCAACATGTTCACGCTGTATCGCAGGGTGACAGGCGTGATTGACCACACAAAGTTTAAATTTATCTTTTTGAATTGTGTTTTTCCTCTTCTAGTAAATAGTCACTCCATCAGTTGAGAGGGTAGAATGAATTGCAATGCAAGTAAAGCTACTGAAGAATCAATAACTATTGATTAAGAAAACTGCATCTAGATTAGATTTTGTGTTGATTTATTTTGAAAGCCAATTGAAAATCCGTYTATAAAAAATAATTAAAAAAATAGAAAATATTTCTGTTTTGTTTTGCAGCGTAATTATATTTTTGTCGTGAAATTCATCATTAGTCATTCTATATGTGACATTCTTTATTAAAATAGAATGAGATGTTTTCGTAATTCTCTTGGTATGAGACTGGAAAGCCGCACGACAGTGACATTTCTTAATGCAAGATATTTTAATCGCTTTTAAAAGTATACTCAGAATGGCAGGAAAACATTGTATCTCATTTATATATTGTTCCTAGCAGGTTGCTAAAATTACCATATTGATCATTAGAAGGGATAAGTATATTGACTTGTAGAACCTGTACGGACCTTGATGGTATTAAGTGGTGTTATATGTTGACAAAGTTTTTCAAGTAGTTATTTTACCTCCTTGTGGGGAAAACTAAAAATYAAATGCTAGTTGAAGTGAAATAACCTCTTTTAGTTTTTTTACATTCTTTTTCTTATTTCCATTGATTTTTCATTCTTACTATTTTGAATCGTTTGGTACACCTTTCCTTTTTCATTAATTTTTTCGTTCTCTTCCATTTTAGTTTTTCATTTGTAATTTCATTTTTATTCCCCCTTTTTTTAATTTTTCAAAAGAATATTTAAACATATTTATCGTAACATTTGCCCCAAAAGCAACGAGACTTAACAAGGGGGCTTACGTCTATTTTACAATATAAATAATAAATAGCAACAGCGGACAGTAGGAAATAAGTACAATAAATACACAATAAATACAAACTAAAATAGTACAACAGTCTCATAATGAGATAACCGTAGGAAAAAAACTATGTAACATCAAAGTCGGATTGAAAACGATTAGTGGCTAAAATATATTTTTGAATTTCAGAAAATAGTTTATAATTACTTTTCAAGTCTAATTCCTTTAAACAATGTAATTTTTGTTTTTTTTAGAACAAATTTGTCCCCTTTTGATGTTTTCATTTATTCATTTTGCATCTAATTTCTTTATATTATTTCTAGTGAATCATATTGCCAGTCTATTCAGCCCAGACCTAAGGCAGATCGCGTACGAGGTAGCGAGGGGACGCCCAAGTGCTGGTACTGCAAAAGCGAAGAAGACGAAACAATCGACCATTTTTTTCTCTCGTGCGCGAAATTCGACGAAATCCGATATGACCTTCTTCAGGAGATGAAAACCCGTCTCGAAGCACTTGGGGATGAAGGAATCCAGGCTTGGCATTCTTTCAATCGAGGCTCTTTATCTCTGCAGTCCCAGATCATACTTGGTGTCCTAAGTTTTGGGGGCGTGGTTGATGACGTCATTGTTCAGTTTCGGGAGCAGTACGTCGCTAAAGCGTGGAATGAAAGGATTGTGATTTAATACGTGTTGGGCTTCCTGTGTCCCAAAAGAACATGACTAAAGATGACTGGTCTTAGTTTAAAGAATAGATCAAAGTCAATTTGAATTTCGATCATTGGTTGCGCAGCGTGTGCTGGCGGGAATCGTGGCACCTCTGATGAACCAATGAGTAATATGGAGGATGTCAAATATTTGATTGGAATCAAATTGTTTATAACAATCGTACTTTGCTGTCTGTCTGTTTGTCTAATATCTCATCGTGATTCGCAGAGAAGGGTAGTTCTGGAGGGGAGGGGTGGGTGGTGATGTAGTCTCGAAATAAAACTGATGGCACTAAAATTCATTTTTCTGATATGGATCAAAGGATTTTCCTTTCTTGACTCAATATAGATCAATAACTGTATAAAAGCGCGCTTTGTATGACCGTCAAAAAAATKATTTGTGGACATAACGTGCTGTGGCAATCAATTGATACCATCAACGTTGTTAATGATCAAGCATTACGTGTACCTTAGTGAACACAATCTCAATCAGAAAACATAGCTTTAAAAATTATTTCAATTGCTTATACTGAAATAAAAACGTCAAAAAAGTAGATGGTGATGGTGATGGTGATTGTTGGTTGTCCATGCTATCAATGTTGACTTCAACTGTTGTACCATTTTTCAACGTGACGTGTCTGGTCTGCCGTGCGCTGGCTTTTCGTCAGGGGTCATTCTACTTCCCTGACCCTGACCTTRGTACCTTAATTGCATGTTCCTGTGACGAGTTACAACTTCTCGTGGTTTGGCATCTGCCCATTAATCATACAACGTTTTACAGTCATTGTATTTCAAATTGACGGAAACCACACACGGTGACCTTTGAATGTCATTCAGTTTAAATTAGACATGAATTGCGTATCTGAGAGTTGCGCATACTAACTTGCTTTGTGATGATCCCACATGGATAAGGGGCCAATATATTTCTTCAAACTTTCTCATTTGAAAACTGATTATCATACGGTCTTTTGTGAAGACTAAATCCATACATATAGGTCGGTCTTTATTTGAATTTAAAGACAGTGTAAGGGTTATTGGCCGAGATTTTATATCATGTAATTTACTCTAAACCGGTTCTGCACCATGGCGTAGCAAAATCTTTACCCAGTGAATTCGAAATATGAGACAAAAGAAAGAATAAGAAAAAGCTGGTATAAATAGGAGCATCCCTTATGATTTAAGAGTATCCCTTACCTGATTTAGGAGTATCCCTTAACCTGATTTAGGAGTATCCATTCACCTGATTTAGGAGTATCCCTTAACCTGATTTAGGAGTATCCCTTCACCTGATTTAGGAGTATCCCATGCAATCAGTGGAAAAACTAGTAATATGTTGCTTTCTTGTATTCTGATTTGTGTACGTGTATTGTACCTCTGGGTAAAAGCGAGCAAATTTACATTTGCGGTAAAAACGTTGTTTTTGYAAAGTAGCTCTTGCGATCAAACTGCTCTAAACTGCGCGCACTGCGCATGTGTGCAGAAAAACAAAAATCATTCTAAAAATAGCATCAAAGTGTGTTTTGGTTGAAAAAGCCTTTGGTTCATCATCCGTCCTGATGTTTTTTCCAAAGTACCAAAGGATTTTACGCGTTTTTTCATGTTAGRAAAGTCTTAAGCTCTGATCCTATGTGATGGTTTTTCCAAGATATCAAATGTTTATACATTTAACCCTATTCTTGCCGCGGGCCGATTAGATCGGCCCAACGGATACTCCTAGTCTTGAATTTTACCCACTCTAAAACAATAGACAATATTAGAGTGATAATGAATATTTACATACAATAACCCACACATGTACATCGGACATACATACAATACAGTACCCGCATAACTAAACATTCCAACGTGCAATCAAAGTCTTGCGGATCAGCATGCGAGGTTATGCAAACCTCRCCTCAGAGCAGTTTGGTGAAGTGAGCATAAGTTGGGGGTTTGAAGCAAAGAAAGCAAAAATAATGATTCCAGGGATGAATTACGAGCTTAATATGAAAGCACCCTTAAAACTAGAAGGTATGTATGCGTGTTTTATTTTTGAATCACGAATAATATGCGTAATACTTTACATTTTTGGAGTTTGAAACCTCAGTGCCAACCACGTTGCATTCAATATGGCCGCCTATTTTTCCGTCTTCTCAGAAAGACTCTGACTTAGTCTGCACTTTATGTTTATATTTGAATTTTTTAGTGAGTATGTAAGCCTTAATCAACTATTATTTTCTGTAAAACAATTCAGTTCCAAAGCTGAAGGCTTTTTTACCGCATAAATAAGGGCTTTTTTATGAGCAGGAAACCCGCCTCGCTTGAAGGTCGAAAGATAGGTTACTAGTAAACTAGTATAGACTCAGAAATGCGTGAACTAGGGCTTCCTAGAGGGTATAACTATGTAGGAATTGAAAAGATGCAACGGGAAAACGCGTTTTCTCATGATTGGCATATACCAAATTTTAATAAGGGGGCTTTCATTTATTAGTGCATGGGGAGGGAGGGGAAATGATCTCAATCCACTACTGATATCTGATACCTTATGCATCAAACAGTGGCTACCCCCAGGGTGCGACCCCTGGGGAGCCTGGGGGACTAGTCTAAATGTCCTATGAAACCTCAACAAATACCCCTCGGTGTGGGACAGCAATTTTTGACATGTATTCCCACCCTCAGGGGCCAAAAATAAGGACTCCGACCATTGATATAACTGAAAACTAAGGGAAGACTTTATTTTAAATCCTTGCAATTATAGCATATAAATTTGTCCATTTTACTGCCTTTACTTTACCTTTAACTTTACCTTTGTTTATGAATTTTTTCAATGAATTAGCAATAAGAGCTTTTCTTCAGGTTCTATCTAAATGCCATGTGTTGAAGACAGACATGCCACTTGAGGTTTTAATGAATATTTATTAATAAACAGACCAGCCATTGCGTCTATGTTTTCAAAGAACATCAGGGAATCACTGAGAATGTATATACCACTGACCTCRAGTTACAAATCCCCAGGGTCTGGCTCCTGGGTTAGAACTCCATGAACAAAAGTGATGTTTTCCCCCACACCCTTGGGCAAGATATTTCTGAAAATCTCCCTTGGTTGGTGCCCTGGGGGTCAATCCCACAGGGAAGCCGCTGATAGATGCATTAAGATATGCTTACACTAGTAATTTTGTTACTTGACTTGAGCAGCAATCTCAATGGCATTTCATGGTAACAGATGGCACTCAAGCTGTTGCAGCTATGAACATGGTGACTTTCTAGTGAAAATCACAGAGAGTTGCACTAAATTTTGAACATATACAGGTTTTAGGGCTTGGCTATGCATGATCTGTTGCTGTAAAATTGCCATTGAAAATCATCCTCCTAATAAGTTTGGGTTTAGGCACCAAGGCAAGAACGAAGATTGAGCGTTTGCACGGTAAAAGTGACGAATGTATTTTTTCTCTACTAGGAACGAAGCATCATGGGATTGATTGATAYGATAGCACTCTAATCCACTGACCTGACAAAGTAACCACAAATAATAAAAGCATGAATTACAAGCTCAGCTATCATAATTAAAGCAAATTTGAAACTAAAAGGTATTTTATAAATGCTTGTTATATTTTCAAGTAGTATACATTTAGTTTTGTCATTAAAACCTGGTCAGCCCACAGAGTTAGAATTTCATTTCTTTATGACAAGATAAACTTATATTGTCCCTTGAGCAGCTCTACAAGCTAAATGAAGAGAAAACAATAATATATATATATATATTAATATATTTAATAATATGAATGTATATGTATACAAGTTCATTTATTTTATCATTCCTTCTTTATTTCATTCTTTATTTCATTCTCCCATTTTGTCAATTCATTTATTGTCATTCATTGTGTCATCCATTCATTCATTCAATCATTTTTTCATCCATTGATTCATCCATCCATCCTTCGACCCACCCACCCATGAAGATATTATTTTGAAAAAAGGCAAAGCAGCATGTAGCTAAAATTAACATAAAATAAACATAAAATAAAGTTATTACAGACCAGGCTGTGCCAGATTATTTTTGGCTACCATTCATGTATTAGGGTGTTTCAGAGGATTGTATTGAGCATGATCATTTGAGCAATGAGAAATGCAGTAAAAAATAACTTTATGCACAGAGCCATTAAAATTTTTTCTTTTTCTTTCTATTATTATTATTATTATTATTATTATTATTATTATTATTATACTTATTAATTATTAATTATCTACTACAACAAATGAAATATTGTTAATCGAAGTAATATGATCATCCAGGTGGATGTAGTCCTGAGAAGGACTGTTTGATGTGACTGACGTTTCGACAACCTGAGCGGAAGTCATCTGCGAGTCACTGTTTCGGTGTAATGAATGTTAATTGAAGTAATATGATCATCCRGATGGATGTAGTCCTGAGAAGGACTACATCCATTAGACCGCACTCATTAGACCGATGCCGCCAATTACGCTTCTTCATGTAATTAGGCTATTGTTATC